TGGTTTTTATCAAATGCTGTGTCTTTTGTATTAATTGATATTATAATAGGAGTCTTCTTTATTCTGCCAGTATGATGGACTACAGTGATTAAAGATTTGTTGAACCAGCTTGCAAACATGGAATAAATCCCACTTGGTCTTAGTGAATAATTCCTTCATACATCATTGAATTTTACTTGCAAATGTTTTATTGAGGACTTTTGTGTTCTTCTTTTTAAGTGATACTGGTCTATAAATTGTACTTCTTTCTAATATCTTTACATGGCTTGGCATTAAAGTTATTCTGGCATCATTGAGTGAGTTAAGAAGTGTTCTTTGATTCTTTTTGGGAAGGATTGTGGAAAAATGATATGGTTTCTTCCTATGAAACCTTTTAAGTATGGTGATTTCTTTTGGTGAAATTATTAATTATTAATTCAATTTCATTATAGAAATATGGCAATTCATGTTTCCTTGTGTATATTTAGGTTGTTCCTATTTTTTGACATCATAAAATATAATTTTTAAAATTTAAATTTTATCTCCAGGGATTACCTGTGAAAAACATTTGTAGATCTACAAAATGGAGTGAAGCAGGTAATTGTTAAAAAAAAAAACCAAAAAAAAACCCTCATGCTAAGAATATGAAGACTTTCAACACTTTTAATTAGATTAATAAGAATAAATGTCTTCTTTCTATTACTTCAGTGTGGACAATATACTCCATGTAGGTCTCCATTTGCTAGCTAAGATAAAAAGTAAAAGAAAATTCTATTTTGACAATTGTAATTGTATGTTTTTTTTGAAATTCTCTGCATATGATCTTTGTCAAAAATATTTAGTTATTTAAGATTGCTTTACTCACAATTATTTGAGTTGTTTAATGATTGCATTCAACCTACATTTAACATTTATTTTCAATGTTTTTTGGGTGTTCTCACCAAGAAACAGGTGTTTGAAGTATCTCACTAAGAAACAGGTGCTCAAAGTATAATGTTATCATTAGTATACCTTCTTTGAAGTGAAAGCCATTATAGTGTACTTTGGATTACTAATGGGTTTTCATGCACAAAGAATCTGTTTTGGATTTTATTTTAAAAGGTTAGAATTTCAAGAGACATTTTTCTTTTTGTTCTTAAGTAGCATGGGAAATAATATAGAAAATGTTTACCAAAAAAAAAAAAAATTAAGGAAGCTAACAATCATAATTTAATATAAATAATGATGCCTTTAGATATTTTAAGAGAGTGACAGTAAGTAGCTATGCCATGACAAAAATATAGCATTTTTCATGATAGTGCCCTTTCAGTAATTTATTATAAGTATTTAAGTATGTGATAATTATCAATATTGTTCTAACATTCTATCACATTTGCATAACCCTTGGGCATTGCTCCCTCAGCATTCTGAAATGCTTACAGAACAGAAGACATTGTCTTTAGAATTGGTTGTTTAACTCTCAATTTGCTTCCTAATTTATCAACAACATGAGAACAGTTACTGTGTTTTGTTATAGCATGCAACACTTAGCCCAATGCCCTACCCAAGGTCAGCATTGCCCAGAAGTTTTGAGAGGATAGGTAAATCAAAGCATGAATTAGTTAATATTCACATACATTTGTCAATTGGTGGAAGTTGTTGCCAGGTGAAAAATAACAGTTCTTAGTGGTAATTTAATCCTTTTTTTCTTACTCTTCTGGACAGCTATGTTAGGTTACTATTGGCCTCTCTTCTTTCTAACTTTACTTGTAAATCTCATTGATTCTTAAACAATGAAACAGTCTCATTATACTGATAGGTTTTACTCAATCTCTTAGGAAGGTATACAATCATACACCAGGGAATAGAAACCTTGCTGGGCATCTTAGAATTAGCTCACATAAGCAGCAAAATGGTCTACTGCAGTACACTTTCCATGACTGTTTTACTTTTTTCAACTTCATGTAAATGGACTGTCCATCCTTTAACTATGGTTTTCCATAATAAAATATATTCTTATTAACCCTACGACTTGTTTTATATTTGATTACTTTGTCTTACTTCATTTACTTCCATCTGGACCTGCTTTCAAGGCACTCACATTTTTTTAATTCTTTCCTAAGGACCCTTCCCTTTGCAAGGTTATTGGAATCCTCTACTTCTAAAGACTAAATCCCTCGCTGTTGTTTCCAACTCTTTGTATAATGTTTATATAATGTTTTAATCCATATTTTGATTGTAAAACATACTTGCATAAAAATTATCTTGCAAAATCAAATGATTCACATTTTTTCCTAAAAGGTAATCTCACAATTATTTCAAAATCTGTGCATATTAACTACAAACATACTATTTTATAATTTAGTGTTTAAGTGAAGCACAATAGGCCTGTTAAAAATATGAAAATGAGAAATATCATCAAACACTGGTAACTCTTACTTTCCTCCATTTTAAGCATTATGAGATACCTATGTATAAAAGTCTGGTGTAAATGTGTTTTCCCTTTTTTTCTGGAAAATGTGGATAGAGTACATTTCCTCCATAAATGACATATTCTCTTGGGGAAAATCAAACACTTCAGTATAAAAATAATTAAATATAAGAATGAATTGTGTTCTAATAGAAGGATAATTTCTCACCTCTTTTAACTTAGACATTATATTGGTTTACTATATATTACAAATATATTACAGACTAGGTGGTTTAAAAAACAAAAATTTACTTTTCACAATTCTGGAAACTTGACATCAGAGATCAAGATGGCAGATTGGTTTCTTCTGAATTCACTCAACACTTAACAGATGGCCATTTGCTCCTTGCCTTTTCACATGGTTTCTCCTCTGTGTGTATGTTTTCTTATCTCCTCTTCTAATAAAGGACACCAATTATATTGGATTAGGTACTACCTTAATGGCCTCTCCTAACTGAATTATTTCTTTACAACCCTGTGTCCATATACAGTCACTTTCTGCCATACTGGGAGACAGAACTTCAACATCTCAATTTTGTAGAGTACAGCATTCAGTCCATAACATTCATGATGTGAATTAATTGATGTTATATGGGACATCTATGGACAAGACAAAAAAGCAGCATAAAGAAAGTGATTACTGAGATGAACAAAGTTACTCCAGGACCGCCATTCTGCAGCTATTGCAGAGAAACCTGTACAATGGTGGATGATTATTTGAGACATTATAATAAGCCATTTAGAGAAGTGTGCTGAATATTTTCTTGACTTGGAAGAAAGGGGACAAGTGAAGTCTTTTCCCAGCATTCCCTTTTATTCCATAAGAACACAGAACATTAAACCATATACTACAACATATGAAGCTAGATCCAATGGGCATCTTTAGGATTATGTCACTTTCAGAATAAGGATACTTAAGCAACTCACCTGGTATGCAACATAACCATGACGTGCATTATTAGTGAATTGGGTCCTTCAGCTTAAGTGCAACCATAAAAATCTAACAGTCCTTTTCTAGCACTATTATTGCCATTTTGTATATGAAGAAGTAAGCTTTTATCCTAATTTATAGAAATTAGATTTCTAAATTTCATTTGGAGCAAGAGTCGAAACTATGTAAACTATTAAAGCAGAAGAAACAACTTTCTGAGAAACTTTGTGAACACATTTTAGAGTATTTCAGAAGCATCTCATTTTTGCTAATCACAGCCAGATTAAAATTAGTTACGTTAGAAACTAAAAGTTTTGTGATGCAGCAAAAGAAACTAAAATCCCCAAATAGAAAGATGCTGGCTTTCTTGACCATCGTTTTCTAATAAACAGATATTTGGTCAAGAGTGAAAATACCCATGATAGTCAATGCCATTATGTTCTTTATACAACACATGCAATGAATGAAATTCATTTTCTCTACTTGCAATGTCTGCCTCATATCTCAAGTGATTAATTATCAAAACTTCTTCCCCTATTACAATCATAAAATGTTGATTATTACCTAAATTTTACTTGCCCTGACTTTCTTCCTCCCTGACTCCTTCTTTCCTTTTCTCTTCTGAGGTAGGACTCCCTATATATAGCCCAGGCTGTTCTCCAACTCACTCACCCTGTAGAGACACCGGCCGTGAATTCAAGATTCTCCTGCCTCACTCACTCAAATCACTGCGATTTGTCACCATACCCAGCTTCTAGTTTTTTTACTTTATATTGCCAAATGGGCACATTTCAATGTTTTCCTGTCATAATGTGGTTCCTACACTTGGTGTAATAACTAAATAAGCTTAGATAGTTAGAGAAGATAAATTGGATCACTTGGTGTCTTTTCATATTAGGAAAACAAACTTTGTATGTGCTTTGGTATTGCTTCTGAGGGAACATTGAGGAGACCTTACTAACTCCTAGAATGATGTCTCTTGCATTCCATGATGGCTACTTGACACTTTGGTGTGCTGGAATAGGTTTGGACTGGAATGAATGGGTACCATCTTTGTTCTTAGATGTATATTGTAGGAATCTTGTTATTGCTACACACTGAGGACTATTTTAGTGTTAATTTGAACCATGGGAAAAGTTTAGAATAGAATTTCAAAGAAATAGAGGAATCTTTCTCACCTGCAAATATCAAATTCCTTCATGATATAAATTTTCCCTCTAGTGATCAGATCTAAATGCTGAGCAACAAACAGTCCTTATTTACCATGATGAATAGGGTTAAAAAATTTCTGTCCAATGACAAATCCCACCCCGGAACAGATTTCAGCCAGGCAGCTAGCAAAGCTTGCGGGTGAACTACACAGGCCATGTGGGTGCAGAGCTCAGAGCCGGAAAGCAAACAGCTGCTGTAGCCTGATTTGAGTTAAAATAGTGTGAGTGTTTAGTCTGGCGCACAGCTTCGGGGGAGATTGGCAGCTGGGTCAAACAAAGTCCTTCCATTGGCTCCCTTCCCAGGCTGCTCTGCTAGTATTTAGTAGGTACTAGTGCTGTGTAAGGGCCCTTTTCTCAGGCAAAACCTAACATCTGACCGCACCCTTTTTGCTCTTTCAAAAAAAAAAAAAAAAAAAAAAAAGGAGGGGGACTGCATTTTTGCTTCTTTCGTTATAAGATAAATTCTCCAGGAGACAACCTCTCCCACTAATTGTGTACTAGCAATGTATTTTATCTTGAGAGCTGTCGCACTGGTCTCTCAACGTGGTGTGGAAAGCAGCCTGCTACAGTGCTGGATTCATAAAAGGGCCTTTATGGTTTGTGAAAGAATATCTGTGTGCTTAGGCAGGAAACTTTTTGATCTGCAGAAAAGCCAGAAGATACCTAGGTAAGGTTATGCATCAAATCTACTTTTGGGGGGCAGAGTTGGGCAGTGAAGAGGGCTAATCGCAACTGGTGTGAGTTGACCAGGGTGTGCTCACTTGTGTAGAAGTTGAAAATCTACTGACTATTGTTCGCTTATATTTTGTTTGTTTGTTTAAATCTTAAAGGAATACTGTAGTCTGTATTTTTTACGATTTTGTTTTCTGCTGTTGAACCAATTCCAGTGGATATAGAGTTTTATTATATAGTGAAATCTTTGTAAACTGCCACAGAAAGAGTTATTTAGAAGGGAAATTAACAAGTTTTAAAGAGTAATTGTACAATCATTTGAGGACAGAGGAACACTGCATTAGACTAACAAGGGTTTAATTACCAAAAAAAAGTTTAATGTTGCTTTGGAAGGAATATTAAGTAAGTTGTCTTTGTCTCTTACTTTTTAATTTTAGTCGCTGATTTAGCCTGTTGGGTCACATTTTTTGTGAGTGCTGAAGGCTGCCATGAATGCCTAATGAGGCCCCTTTGCACATGATTTTGGCACTTGGCCAAAATCAACTTCCCAGCAGCAAGCTTTCTCTAAAGAACCTGGAGCAATTTTTTTTTTTTTATTAGAAATCATGTCTGAAAGCTGCCACAACCAGTTGTGTAGGCATGTCAAAATGACTTTATACAGTAAATATGAAACAAGCATTACAATTTTTGTTTCACATTGCTGCCTTTCTCATTATGAATTCTTTCCTTGTTCCTACGATAGCACAAGAACAAAATCCTAAAGAAGATTTACTGATTTTTTTTTTGTTGTTTTTCTCAGCAGACCAGAGTAGGGGTGATCATCTCACTGAGAAGTATACAGTGTGAAAAGGTTTTTCAAAAACACTTCGAGATAAATAACAGATGAATTCTTAAAACTGTTAATCTCTGTAAGTAATACTCAGTGAACAGTAAGTAATGAAGTTTTCTGGAAGTTTCATTGTGTGCACAATTAAGCTTAACACTTTCTTAAACTTGGAGTTTCTGTGTATATTTAAATGTCGTGGCATCTGGAATTTTAAAAAGTGTTAGGATTTGTTACAAACTCAAAAAAATTATTTAATGCCTTGCTATTACTTCTAACAAATGCTTTAATGGAAATGTTTGGTCTGTAAACATGACTAACTTTAAATGGTCATATTTAATTACTGTCTTGCAATAAAAACAATGATTTTTTTTAATGAAATAAATTCTGAAGCTCAAAGGCAGATATATCTAATTTTTGGAAAAGCTATTAATTTTGATACTTTTCCACCTGAATTTTGTCATGCTAGCCGATATGTAATTTTATATACCAATGTTTTAAGCGTTAAATTCAAAATTGCAATGAAATGTTATAGTAATCAGATAGTAACAACTTTAGAATTTGTGTAGCTACTATTGTCAGCAATATCTTCAGACATTAAAGTGGGTACAGTGCAAAGCAATTAAACAGAGAAAAGTAGGTTCTCACTTGTTCTTTTTTTTTTTAAATTCCATTATTACTATCCTAAATGTGGTTTTTTACTTTATATGTTGGTCTATAGTAATCTAGATTGTAACTTTATCTTTTACTTAAAAGTTGTCATTTTCCTTTTTTAAAATATTAATGTGAACCACATGTATTACCCTTTAAGAGAAACTTGATTCAGAGCTTGCTTAGTAGGTTTCTTTACCATGTATTTATCACGGTCTATCTTCACTTTACACAGTTCAGAGTGTTGTTGATTTGTGTTATAGAAAAAAGTGAAAATTAACTTTTAGGATTAGAAAATGCATTGTTATTCTCTTCTAGTGAATTTATATGTGTATAATTTGATATTTTTGTATTGTGATGGACTAAATTAAGGCACTATAAATGCTTGCTATTAGTTGGATTAAGTCTTAACATATTTGAAAATTATCATATATTTCAACTCTAAAAAATCTATAGAAGTTATGTATGGCTATATAAAGAAATTTACCTAGGTAAGTGCTCTTTGAATGTGAGTTCACAGCTGAGTTCTTATTTAATCTTTGTTATTTAATAAAAAAGAAATTAATGTAGATAAATGTTCAAAAGTTGAAGAAAAATGGTGCATTTTACGTTTGCTATCATCAAACAGGTGCTGGGAAAATACGATAGCTTGTCTTGCTTAGCACAATTTGCGCCTAAAACGTCATTTTTGAATTCTAATTTCCTCTAATTTTACCTCTCATACTGTTTTATTTGTTATTAGCTTGAATCAAATATTTTACTTAGCATTGAAATTGGTAGAATGTTTCTCTAAAATTTGTTGAGAATTGCTTCATTGGAAAATCATAGTTCTTTTTTTGGCTTAATTAGAGGCTATAGTACAGTAAATACCATCAAATGTAGAACTTTTCAAGTACATAGATCTGTATTACTTTATGAGTTCAGAAGATGCTTAATTATATATGTGATTAGTGACAAATATTTTGAGTTGAAATAGAAATAAATAAGCAATGAGAACAATTTAAATTATGTTCTTTAGTGTAATAGAAAATTTACTTTCATTTGTTTTGCCAATGAGTTGTAACTGAGTATAGGTTTCTGCAAAGAATTACTAGCTAATATTCCTTGAAACATAAATGTGAAATACTGGTTACATTTTATTTACTGAATTAACATTTTTAAGCAATATTCAGAAATCCGTTTACTTTAAAAAATGCGTTTATATTTCTGTTAAATTTATTCTAATTTGGAAGAATAGCTCAATAATATTTCATTCATCTTTTCTTCTCATCCTTTTTGAAAACATTAAAACAAATTCCATTTTATAGTGTGGAAACTTCTACACTCTTCAGAAAAAGTACAATTCATTTCTGTCAACTTAAATTATGGACATTTACCCTTTTAAGTGTGACAGAATTTTTTGTTTGTTTCAATTATGCAACAGGCCTATAAAATACTTTCTTTCCCCTAATTAGGAGATACTAAATATATGGGTATCAACTTTTACTTTGTTTTGAAAGGCAAGCTTAAGCACTGTAATATTTTATCTACTATTTTTAATGTGTGAGAAATGTTTACAACAGGGCACCTTAGGTGAGCATTTCATCATTTCAATGAAGTGGTTTGCTCTAAATGGTGTACATTCCAGCAATGAGATAAGTGCACTGGTACATTAGATTGAACATCATTATTGAATTTTGGCACAACTTCAGTGACCTCAGCCATAAAAGATTATTATAGGCAAAATGATCTTGGATTTGCCGTAACTAAAGTAGGTAAGAAAAGCATTTATGACTAGGAATATAGCTCAGTGCTACAGTGCTTGCCTAGCATGCACAAGGCCCTGGGTTCAATCCCAGCACTGGGAAGGCATTGACTTGCTTTGAGAAAGTATGTACTGAAATAAAAGGTGATATATTTCATGTAAGCTGTTGATAGTAATATTTCTTTAGCTCATTAATGCAATGAATCTTGAAACTAAAAAATCGTTTGTATTATATTTGTCAGACTTTTCCCATAGAATTAAATTGCAGCATTTTATTCTTTTATTAGATGAACAACTGTCATATTTCCAAGCATCTAAAATATAGCTACAGACTAGATAAATAATTTTTAAATATTTTGCTTTGATTTAAATACAAGTAATATTGAATGTGAAGAATTATGTTCTCTAAGTTTAGTCCTTTTTAAATAAAAGAAGGGGTGGTCTGTACTTGTTGCAAATTGGTTTGATTTTTAAATTATGTTAAAGAAAATATTGCTATTTATATCATTTTTAAACATGGTAAGGTTCATTTTACAAGTAACCTGATCTATTATATCATTAAACATGATGATTTATGCCTAACTGTACGTTTTTCCTTTCAAAGTCAAGCAGAATTCATCAGTACAGGGTCCTTTCCTTTGATGTCCTATTTTTTTCTTAAAATAAAATAGTCTTTTTTATTCTTGTTTATGTATGTTTGCCAACCTGTGTTTCTGCCTACATTCTGAGATATCTGTTTTTATAGCATAAGTGGAAAAGTCTGGTAGCTTGTCTTATTCCATATTGGTCTAAATTTTTTTTTATAAAAATCAAGTTTCTCATTGAAAGTTAGTAAATTGAATTACTGTAAAAGATCATATCAAATCTAATGGTTTGTATAACTTCGAGCACTGAATAATGAAGCATAAATAGGTGCCATTGTCATGTTTGTGGAGTGATTCTGAATGCATGATTACTATTACTTTTAAAGATTTAAAAATTTATAGAACCTCTGTAGTGCCGTATTTTCTTAAAATGAATATTTGATCAATTTATTAATGCCTCCATTTTGCTATTATTGAAATGTTATATAATATCTCTTTCAAAATATCATGAACCCAAGTAGTCTGTCCCTTACTTTCTATTTGCCTCATTGATGAGAGGTCAATACTTGGACCTCAGGAATGCCTGAAAATATTTCTGAGAAGTTTTCTTCCTTGTGACTGTCAAGTACTTTACTATTTGCACAGATTTTGAAAGGAGTTATTGTCTTACTTGAATGTTTACGTAAATGTTAGGCTTTCTGTGAACTTCAGCTTAAAACTAAAATAGAAAATAAAATTGAGATTTATGATGTGGTGTATTTTTATAGTAACTAATAACCACGTGCTATTCCTACATAAACAACAACCTGGAAATGTATACACTGGCTCTGAGACAGGCTTTCATTTACTCTTCGCTCAAGAGCTGCTGAGAAAGCAGTGGCACAAGGGCGGTACTGGTCCAGTCTGTGGTCTCCGTTGTGCTTCAGGCTCCTGCAGTCACCTCCTTTGTCCAAGTCCTGGAGTCTAGCTTCTGAGCTCCAGATCCCCGATATTACTACAGAGAAAGATGAGTTATAGCATAACATACTCATTCTTGTTTTCTGGGGAATCTGGAATGGATTTTCCTTGGCAGAAGCAGTGTCCTTTTTTGAATGATGATTTTTAAAAAAAATCACACTTTAGATAGGTCAGCTCACTCAGCTGGGCAAATCAGCATAATAACTGAGCTAACTCAGCCTTAGCAAAGATAATTCATTTTTCATTTTGCCCTAAACTGGACACTTTCTTGGACAGTTATGTATGAAAAGGTCATGTTGCTAAAGTATAGAACATGCCCATTCTACTATAAGATAATAAACTGTCATTTTGTTTAAATAATGTTTTTCAATATATGTTGTGTGTCAAAACTACTTAAATAATGATAGAGACAGTCTTTCTGAAATTTAACTTGTGGGATTGGCCTTATTCTAATTCTACTTGAGATGTCATCTATAAATTGCTTTTTAAAAGTATTAATTTTTTGTGGTACTGGGCGTTGAACCTAAGGTCTTATTCATGATAGACAAGCTCTCTACTACCATGCTACAGCCCCAGTGGTAAAAGTCATTAATTTTAAACTTTACAATTACATTCCTCATGCAGTATAGTGATCTAGCTGGGAATTACCTGCTAGTGCAACACATTTTTGAACATGAAATATTTATTTCTATTGCATGTTCTGTAGGACTGTAGCCTGATCTCCATTTCCAGGGTTCATTCATAAACATTTTAAAAAACTAGAGTATTTTTAATCAATAGCCAGTTTTAGATATGTTTAGATAGCTTGACATTCAAACATGATGTACAGAGAATTACTACTGATGTGTGATTTTGCTATTTCTAAAACATCTTCAGTTATCAGGAAATGAATCAATGGTGATATAGAAGCAAAGAATGATTTGTAATTTTGGCAGTTATAATCAGTTCAGAATATTTGTAGAATGATAACACATTTCTATTGACATATTCTTATGCCAGTAATTTTGACTTGGAAACTATTTGTTATTAGAAAACAGTAATCAATTTTAGTAATCAGTGGTTCAAAATGTCTGATTTATGACCAAGGGTTGAGTTATTAAAATACATTGAACATAGATAAAAGGTAAGCTACTAGGCCACCGCATATCT